GGGTGGCGCTGCCTGTCCTGCCCGGCCTGGGGATCTGCCCCCTCTCCAGGCCCTCCGGGGCCGCGGGAAGGGGTCTGGGGGTCAGCCGGCGAGGTGGGGGATGAGGGCACCTCTCACCTCAACCCTTCTCCCTTGCAGAAGGTGATGGAGGCCATGGGCGTCCTGGCCATCGTGGTGAACTGCTACCTGATCGCCCAGTGCGGCCAGCTGCAGCGGCTCTTCCCGTGGCTCAGCCCCGAGGGAGCCATCATCTCCGTGGTGGTGCTGGAGGTAGGGGGACCGGCGGGGGCTGTGGCCCCGTGCCCCCCAGCACCTGCTGAGGGGGCCAAGCCCTGTCCTCACCGCAAGCTTTGCACCTGGGTCCCAGGGCTGCGTGCGGGGCTGTTCGCATGGGGTCTCCTGGCCTCCTGCCTGTCCTTTTCGGGGCTCCCCAGCTGCTGCCAGCTGTTCAGTTCAAGCAGGCACTGCATTGGCTTGGGGGCAGGAATGTGCCCTGGGGTTGGAGGGCAGGAGGTGGGCAAATGGGGGGGGGGGTCTGCAGTGGCCACGTGGCACTCTCTGTGGACTTCAGGGGTGCTCCCAGGGCACCGCGGGGGCTAATGGGGCTCTCACTCCCCGTCTCCTCGCCCCGGCAGCACTTCGCCCTGCTCCTGAAGTACGTCATCCAGGTGGCCATCCCGGACATCCCGGCCTGGGTGGCGGAGGAGATGGCCAAGCTGGAGTACCAGCGCAGGGAGGCCTTCAAGGTGAGCGCGAAGCCCTGGCACGCAGCCTAGACCGGGCACCCGGGGATGCACAGATGGGAGCAAGCTGGGGGGGCGTCGGGGATCCTCAGCTTGGCCGCCGGCAGCGGGCAAGGTCAAATCCAAGCCGACCCTGCCTGACACCCCCCTGACTGCCCCATGGGTGAATGCAGAGGAGATGCCATGATGGGGGCAACGTGGTGGGGGGTTCCCCGGGGTCACCGTAGCCCCCGGTCCTAACTGCTTCCCCCCCGCCCCAGAAACACGAGCGGCAGGCGCAGCACCACTTCCAGCAGCAGCAACGGCGCAAGCGGGAGGAGGAGGAGCGGCAGCGCCACGCCGAGTACCAGGCCCGCAAGGAGCGCGAGGCCAGCCGGGACGAGGGCCGGCCCGAGGCCGCCGGGCAGGACCCGGCCCCCGACAAGGGTCCGGCCAAAGCCAAGGGCCCCGGGGGCTGCTCCCACGGCGCCGACAAGCCCAAGCGGCCCAGCTCCCTGCTGGCCACCAACAACGTCATGAAGCTCAAGCAGATCATCCCGCTGCAGGGCAAGTTCCTGTCCGGCGGGGCGGGGGCGGCCGGCACGGCCACAGCGCGGGCCCCCCAGTCCCCGACCGGCAGCGACAACAAGCTGCCCGGCTTCCTCAGCTTCAAGTTCCTCAAGTCCCCGGAGACGAAGCGGGACGGGGGCACGGCGGAG